GCCTTCCGCCGCCGCCGCTATATAAATAATAACTATAAATGGTGTTTTGAAAACACGTTTGAAAAATAAACACCATGGTATGGTGTTTTTTTTAAAAACACTACAAAAAGAAACACTTTGGTTACCAAACACAAAAAAGCTTGTTGCTCTTTAAGTTAGAAGTTTAAGCAGGAAAGGATATCAGTGAATGCTTAAACATATTTACGCTTTAGCCCATACCCACTCTCTTCTGGCAGACTCTTGGAAGAAGATTCCTGATCAGCATGATGCCTGCCTCAACCACTAATACCAGCAAATGTCTCCAAGGCTTTTGCATGGCAGTCAAATGTCAGTATTCCTGGCTTAGCTTCTAGAGTAAATTCCAAGCTATTGTTGCTGCATCTGCTTTAATGGTCGTCACGTCATTAAATGTTGTCCAGAAGTTGTTTGCCATGGTACCTGTGTATCCCATCACACTTGTTACTCGGATCAATGATTGTGATTGATAGATAGTTATGCACTTCTTTCCACGATATTTCTCTGTTTAGTTTGGTATTTGGATACATCATTAACAGAAAAAGATAAAGGAAGAAAGATCATAAACGGCAGGCGTGTTATTGTTAGTTTTTGGTGGTACCTACTGTACCCTATGAACTGTTCTCAGAACAATGATTTAATTGATACATAATTATGCACCAAATTCCAAGGTAGATTTGTTTGTAGGTTTGTATTAACTAGGTATTTCATTAATAAAAGAGGATGAAGAATGAATATTGTGACGCTGAAACTTTGTATACATAGAAAATGAATTACACGTTTAATTAATAGTAGCTTTCACATGGTAATAACGCCGCCCTGATGCTGAGTGTATATGCTTTTCTCATTATGCTCGGGTTGTTTTCACATCATTATTTCCTCCCTTTCTAGCTGCCAGACTTGGAAGTTCCACTTGTAGATGTTAAAGAAAAGGTTAAAGAAAAGGACGGTTGTCAAGTCAGGGAACATCTGAATGAAAAGCATTCCTCTTCCACCAAAATTACGAATGCAGAGAAACCTAAAAGGTCAGTGTAAAAGGTTTTGATTAGAATATTTAAGTTTTGCAACCTTTATGTTTTCTCTTTTGCCCTATGATATTTGATTGTTTGCCTTGTCCATGGTGTTTACTACATTTACTTTGATATTATTCAAATATTGTTTGTTTCGTTACTGCATAAAAACTGAATGTATATTAGTTGCTGCGATCCTTTGTCTTCACTAGAATAGGAACCAGTTTATTGAAGAAATTTAGTTTGTCACTAATTGTATTTCATATTTAGGAGATTGCTTCCAGCATCAGCCCTGCTACTGAAGGAATTTAACGGCCTTGATCTGGAAGCTGAGAATGCTAAGGTGTGTTACTGCACTGGAGTATCTTTTCGTTCAACGGTTTCTTTTAGTTTTAGTTGTGCTACTTCTAACCAAACACAGCACAAAAGTTCTTATCGAACGGGTGATCATCAATTCAGCATCACTCTGTATTTACACACCATTAAGTTTATATGGATAGTAATTATATTGTTTTTTGCAATTTTCTAATCCTTGAACTGAGTGGTTATGTTATCCTAATGTACAAAGTACTTTGCCAATAAAATAAAAGGTTCTGAACTCCTAAAATTTCCATTGTAACACCTCCTAGGTCCTTAATGAATGTGATGCACCTTCTCTATAGCTCCTTAGTACACCTATGAATACGATTGGTACATAACCAGTAATGCACAAAAGTTTCTTTGCTCTAGATTGACTTGACTGATTTATTTTCAACCTGCCTTCTTTACTAATATGAAGATCCGATAGACCCACAACATTATTAATAGTTCTCGACTTTTTCAAGTGAACTTAAAAACAAATTTCAATATAATGCTTTCAGGTTCTTCAACCATTCAAAGCCTTTTGAATAATTGATATTTTCAGTACTCATATAGTTCTTGTTTGACTGCAGGAGGTTAGAAATAAACTAAGTGCAGTGGGAAGAGGAAGATCTGAAGGTAGCAAGTCCCTTGTTCGCCTTCTCACAGGCAAGCAATGAGCTGTGGACATGGTTATCTAGAGTATGTCAATGGCTTCCATACAATTTTTTGGTGATTCCTTTTTTTAAAACAACAATTTGACGATGCATGGATATAATAGAAGTAATGGTCATAGTTATGTTTAAAGCTTCTAAAATGCTGGTTTTGACGGGGAAGACTGTATTTATATGGGTCAGATATAATTTATGGTTTTATAAATTAATATATAGTTGATGTATATTGCGTTTCATTTCAAATCTGCGACGCAGGCTTGAAGGATGGATGTCCCTCTTGGGTTGCCAACTCGAAAGGAAAACAACAGACTCGACCCACCATGCAACATTAGGACCAAATGTAACCTCATCCCACCCGTAGTTAAGTCAACGTCGAATCTGAGCTTACCGATCTTGGACTTCAGAAAAACCAACCTATGTGTTAAGCCTGTGTCATGGCAATGGCCAAAACTCGTTGGCATTTACAAAATAACGTGGTTGCTTTTGCAATCGAAAAATTATTTTCAGACCATTGACACCTGAACCTGTTGGATTACAAAATCTAGGATGTACCAATCCGTCCCTAATCCAGTATCAAAAATTTTATGCAGACATACCAATCGATCTTGCGTGCCCGCGATCATTTACTAGTTTGAACAAGCAGGAAAATGGGAAGTCCTTACAGCCTGGAACTGGCTTATTATTAATGATAAATAATATTCGCCGTCCCATACGGAGGCAATTATGTATGCTTTGAAGATAAAAGGATTAGAATGTCAACAGGAAAGTGCGAATTTCCATCGGCCCTAACTCAACAATAAGCGTGTCTTTGTTGATAGGGCCGCCCTTCACAGGAGCAGAGATTTTGCCGTCCCCTTCAACTCTCCAATTCATCTTCTTCATCTGTGATTTATCTTGATTTGCGGATAAGTTCGTTTCGTTCACCTCTTTGATCTGCAAGAAAATCAGCCGTCTCTTTGAAAAAAAAATGCTTTTAGGTTTCTCATAAGATAAAGAGCGGTATAAAAAATGAACTCACCTCCGGCAGCATAGATATTCTGTTAGTGTAACAAAATCAACCGAATTTTTGTGAATTTGCACTCAAACACTCTTTAACACCGAAATCACAATACTTCGTAAAAGTTTTATGGGAAAAATAAATTTGATTTAGGTGTTTCGGACGCGGCTTTCTTGATTGAACCAAAGGGAAACACCCAGAACCATAAGAAAAGTGGTGAAGAAGTCAATATAGATGAAGCAGTCATTTATGCAGTTTGTTGATCCTGCTTACCCGCCACTTGTTTAACTACCAACTCATGATCCACCAACACTGGCTCCTATGCACCACACCGGCACGGGCAGCATCATAGGAAGCTTAGATAACCTTTTGATGCAGCCTAAGCCGGGGTTGTTCTCCGACAAGTCACTAATTCGGATCGCTGAGGAATAGGTGGGTAAAGATGAATAACTATTCGGAGTGGTATTGAATGAGGTTTCCATCGGGATAGAAATATGTCCAAGGCTCCAACCGCCCGGGTACCAGCTACATCTGTTCCGTGCACCTATGCGCCCTGAGTGTAGAGAGCCCGGCTAACATTGGTCAGGGTGTGGAGAGTTCAAGAAAGCGGTCCAGCTGCTTAACAGGCTCACTTTGGGCCTCGGTGGAGCGGCAAGGTGCTGCTTCCGCTTTTTCTAGCGCGCTTTTACCGGCTTTTTGCAACGTTGACTAGTAGTTTTCTCTCCTTTAAAAAAAGGGCAGGAGTTACCAGTTTATTTGAACTTTTTTCTACTTTTGGATGGTGGTAAGGCTGGGGAGACATTTATGTCATTTGTTCAACTAAAATAAGATGACTTTGGCAAAAGAAGTAATAGAAACTTAAATTCATCTGACTGTTCTTTTTTCTGGGAAAAGCTTTCTTGTTTGACATCAAATTAAATAAGGAAAAAAAAATCCAGTTATATGGTTTCTCCATCAAACCTTATAACTCATTAAACACTTCGCTAGTGAATTAAGAAGAAAGAATGTACCGTTTTTGAAGTAAAAATCTTTTTCAAATCCACTGTGGCTAGTGCT